CTACAAAAGAAATAAAAATTAGCTGGGTATGGGGGCACTGTCTGTAGTCCTACATAGTCAGGAGGCTGAGGTGGAGGATTACTTGAGCCCAGGAGGTCAAGGCTACGGTGAACCATGATTGTGCCACTTCACTCCAGCCTGGGCAACAGAGCAAGACACTGCCTCGAACAAACAAAAGAAAACAATATTTTGAGTTGTATAAGTCCTGTTGTTCTCATTTTACAGATGAGGAAACTGAGACATAGGGGATTTTAAGTAACAAGCCCAATATTGCCAAGTATGTTTACCAAGTATGACAGAGCAAGGTTGTTAACTTATGCAGTATGACTGTAGGTCTTTGAATTTAGTTGTTGTGCTGTATTCTCCTTTTATTATAAGATCATAAAATAATTGAATTTCTGTGGTGAAAAGGACCTCAGAGATTATCTAGTCTAACCCTTTCACCCAGTAAGTGAACACAGAGAATAAGAAATTTGAATTTGGCCAAGTAATAGAGTTAGAGATAGATACTCTTGACTTCTAGTTTGTGCTTATTCTGGTGTATTAATTCACTAGGCCTAGAACTGGTAATAAGAGAACCTTTATTCTAGTTCCACTCTTTAAGCACATGGAACAGTGTCATATATATAGTTTGTGCTCATTAATTATTTGTTGCAATGAACAAATGAATTAGCTGTTTTTAATGATGAGATTATTGGCAATACCTGACTTTACGAGTAGGGCCTTTTGGTAAGAATTTTTCTTGTTGGCCTCCTAAGTAAAAAAATTACCCTAAGCTTACTAGTAATTAAGGAAGAAAAGCTCTACAAAATTCAGCCCCAAGAAGGTAACAAAATCTAAAGTAATGAACGCAAGTGATAGTCCATTTATATAGCATTTGTTGTTTGGGTTTGCTTATTTTTATGTCATCAAGGATATATGGTATAATAGAGTAATCCAAAAAAGAGAACGTATTGTGTGGGCATAGGATGCTTAAAAAGCTTAGTAGACAATTCTGGCTTTTTCTGTTCCATAGATTATCTGACTCCAGAAAAAGAACACGTACAGGAAGGTCTTGGCCTGCTGCAATACCACATTTGCGGAGAAGAAGAGGTCGTCTTCCAAGAAGAGCACTCCAGACTCAGAACTCAGAAATTGTAAAAGATGATGAAGGCAAAGAAGATTATCAGTTTGATGAACTCAACACAGAGATTCTGAATAACTTAGCAGATCAGGAGTTACAACTCAATCATCTAAAGAACTCCATTACCAGTTATTTTGGTGCTGCAGGTAGAATAGCATGTGGCGAAAAATACCGAGTTTTGGCTCGTCGGGTGACACTTGATGGAAAGGTGCAGTATCTTGTGGAATGGGAAGGAGCAACTGCATCCTGACTGTAGGACTGAACATTATGTTCACTGCACTCTGATTTTCTGTAGGTACAGTTCAAAGCCCTAAAGGAGTCTGGCTTTTACTATCTTTCTTAAAAAAAAAAAAAAAAAAANTAAAGGAGTCTGGCTTTTACTATCTTTCTTAAAAACAAATGTAGCAAAAAAAAAAAAAAAAAAGTCAAAAAAATTCAAAAAAGGGGATGATACTAGCCTTAACATGTACCTGTCAATGTTATGGATATTGTCATAAAAAGATATCTTTTAAAAAGAACAGAGACTTAATTTTTTAAATCTTAAGATTTGTAGAATGTTTCTAGGATAGGATATTAAAAATGATTGAAACCCATGCATGGTGTTAGACAATTTTTCTAATTATTCCACTGAGTCAGTTTTTTGTGATTAGTGATTATCAGAGCAAACATCATGTAGATAGCACAAGTATTTGGAGAAACGTTGTCTGTTTTGTTACCAAAATGTTGGAAAAATTTATTTCAATACCTTCTAGATTTCATAAAGTGCAGTGTATATAATGCCTACTGAAAGACTGTAAAATATTGAAATTTTCTTTCAAGCAAAGTGTAAAAAATATATTGAGCCTGTAAATTGCTCTGTGACTAGACTTCATTGTCGTCTTAATATATTCTTGCATGTGCATATATATACACACACGTGTATATATATGTGTGTGATTATGTGACCTATGCAATACAAATTATGGGAATGGGCAGCTTTGGAATATATATCCCATAATTCTTTTTTCAGGAATAGTTGCAGTATTTACACAGCAGCATTTCTTCTCAGGCTTTTATTGGGTGCTGTTGCTTGCTATGTATGAAGAGAAATGTGTCAGACGAGTTTAGTGTGTTCTCAAGAAGGGTGTGAACAACAGTGTTCATGGGCTTTTAGAATGCTTTTCACTTTTAGTCCTTGTAACTCAGCTGTTCAGTACCTAAAACAAATTCAAATAATATGAACATTATCTCCTACTAGAAGTAACGTTTTCAAGTTTTCATGGCACATTATGATTGTAAATGTCTCTCAGTTTTAACAGTAAGTCTATAGGAGTCCCGTGAAGATTCCTGAAATGTCTGTAGTAACTGTTAGTCATGTTTGAATAAGTGTAGTATGAACAAAGTATTTTATTGCACAGGGTTAACAAACAGTATGTTGCCAGCTGAGGCTACTGCTGTTTTATTACAACATTACCTCTTGTTTTTATAAAATGTACCAAGATTTAAATTGATAACTTTATTTTACATGTAAAAAAAAAAGTTTCTTTTATCACCAGTGTTAGAGTTGTCTTCTTTTTGTTTTGTTTTATTTGTTTTCCTTTTTAGCCAAAGAGTGAACAGAAGATTTTCTTATTTTGGTGGCTATTCATTTTACTTTTAAAAGTGATTGGTGGATTTTAGACTAATAATGGGGGAATTTGCCGCCAAAATAAAAAATATGTAAAGTGTAGTGATTACAGAGTGGTTAAGATGTGGGTTAGTACTTATTTATTCCATTAATTGATTATTTGACTGTTTATAAAGAAAGTTGCTTTATTTCTTTAAACATCTTCAAAAGATGATCCTTTCCTGTCACATTATAGCCAAAAGAAGCAGAGAACTTCATTGTCTGCATTTGGTTCCTGGTTGGCCAGGTAAATGAGCTTTACAAAAGTGCAAATTAAAAACTGTTACTTCTGTTTACCTCCACCAAAACTTGATTTTCCCCTAGCTATTAATTTAAAGTTGCCTTTCCTGCAGCTGCAATATTTTGAATAACACACAGAGTTTGTGTTGATTTTTGAATGTTTGTTTATATCTAGGGGTAATGAAAAATGTAAATCCCGTGTAACTTTATTCACTCCACCTGTATCATATTATTTCATTTTCCCCAAAGTCCTTTAATTCTAACTGAACACCAGCAGTATTTTTAGAAACTTTTTCTTTAACATACTTGGAAGATGATTTATCCAGCTGAACTGTCTTTAGACGTAATTATTGTGAATGTCTGTTTTATTTTCTCATGGTGGTTCACATGGCTCTGATGTTCAGTTTGTATTTTTGGAATTGTTTTACTTAGAAATTAAAACAGACCAACATTAAATGTGTGTATTTTTTAAAGAGCTAATGAGTTTTGCCTCTGTATTTGCTTGAAAATACACACTAGTGCAGTAGTTGACTGCTTTTATTTAGCTAGGGTGGTAAGGATTTTCTAATTCCACTGCTATTATGTTCACTTGAATTAATCTTTATAAAACTTTGCTTTCATTTTTTCCTCATCCCTCGTATAATATTAATAATCATCACATGTTCATCTTAAATGGTCTTAAATAAACTACATTTAGCTAGCATGTACACTTTATATTTGAAAGATAGTATGTCTCTATTGTGTGCCCAAACTTTAAAAATTTCAGACTTAACTTTCCAACTGTGTTTTCTTCTTACATAGAAGGTGTTAGGTAGGGTTCATATAAAAGGATTTCCTGTATTTTAAAAATAAGTTTTGTCCCAGGCAAATAAAAGATGTAGAAACAATATACTTTCCTAATTGTAATTCTATTTTTATTCAAAGCAAATACATTTTTATAAATATTCTGCTACTAAGTGATAAATCTGTATTCCTAGACCCTTAGACCACCAAACTAGAGCTGGAATATAAGCTATCAGAGATATTCTATAAATTTTAATATAGGAGTGATGAAGCCAGATCTTGCTATGTATATTTTTTCTAAGTATTTAACATAATTATATGTTCACTGATGTGTTAGAGTTGAGGGTGCCCCGCCTCCTTTTTTTTTTTTTTTTTTTTTGGCAAGATATGTCCAAGTTTGCATGCTTGGTTTCTATAATGTATATGTTCAGTAGATTTCTATTATTCGTGTTGGGGGTAGAGCTGTTTAGGGCTACTTTATTGAGTTTCTACTATGCACTATTGAATTTTGGTTGGAATATGATCTGACTTAGGCAATTCTACCAGACTGTTTTACAATCTGGTTCTACAATTGTTTGAATGAGGATGTGATGACAAAAGAAGATGCTCATGCAGCATTGGGAAACAGTTTTTTGTTTTTTTAAGCCCTGTTTTTGTTGGGAAATTTTTCTTAGTTATATTTGAGTACCTCAATGAAGGCACACACCCATAGTCTCCTTTGTTTTTTTTTCTGTAGCAGTTGATTAGTCTTGTTCAGAAAAATAAAAACTGGACAATGAAATGTAAGGTAAGAACTTTATCTGATTATGGATTCTTTTCTAATTGGTAGCAGTTAGAAAACCAGCTGTCTGTCTGAGGAGATGGAAGAAGCTATGAAAGCAAACTGATTAGTTCTCTGTAAAACAAGTAGATGAAACAGGTATAATATTTGTAACTTTTATAAAAATTTCTTGGAGTAATAGCTAGAATGAAATATTATTCTATCTTTATACTTAGAATAAGATTACAATTAACTAGCTTACTTTTTTTTTCCTCTTCCCTCGTCTCATTTCTACTCAACAAAATCCCTCTTTGCTAGCTCGCTCCCCTGGCATTTTCTCTTTGTGGGAGATGATGAGTGTATAAACTGTATTCTTAGTAACTTTTTATTTGTCCTGCATCTTCAGAAAATGTGATGTGTCATTTAAGATACCTTTCCACTGGATTTAGGCAAGGAAACAAACCATTTTAACTTTCACAGACGATAAAATATATTTTTGGGTAAAAATATATCCTGCTCGAAAATCAGTCTATTTTCTATTCTTTATATTTACTAAAAGGTGTCTAATACATTTTTTCTCCTAACCCTATGGCATGTATTCCCAGTGTGGGTGATCACATCCATAAATGGGCAAAAATTTGTTGGGGGGGGCAAAAAAACCTTAGATAATGGTTTGTGGTCCTCCAAAGTCCAGCCCATCCAACAAAAATCTTTATGTCTTAGTATTACTCTTACTGAGTTTTCTTAGGTGTCACATAGGCAGCTTTGACAGTGAGTTCATGGAACTATATATAAAATATGTATAATATCTGTGCCACGAAACCATGGCAAATGGGTAACGGTGCTTTGGAAGACTGATTGCTCGATCTTGAAAATGTTTTGTGAGAGGTGGTTTGTACATGCCTGTTGGCTGTCACTGGCACCCTTGTGGATATTTACGTTTGATCCTCAGTGCTTTTATGTATGGCCTGGGCTTGAAGAATTAAATTAGTTTATATTTTATTATTTTAATTCTAACCAAGGTTATTTACCCCATCATTAAATGTCAAATGCTAAAAAGAAAAAATGTTGACAGTATCTAAATGAGTCTCTAGCAGCTAAAGTAATTTTTTCCATATCAAGCAGAAATTTAAACTCACCAACAATGGTTTAAGAAATTAATTGGCTGAGCACAGGTGGCCCATTTTTGTAATCTCAGCACTTTGGGAGGCCAAGGTGGGAGGATCGCTTGAAACCAAGAGTTCAAGACCAGCCTGGACAACATAGGAAGACCCTGTTTCTACAAAACAATTTAAAAATTAGCTAGGCATGGTGGTGCATGCCTGGAGTCCTAGCTTCTTGGGAAGCTAAAGCGGGAGGATTGCTTGAGCCCAGTAGTTCACGGCTGCAGCAAGCTATGATCATGCCAATCCAACCTGGGTGACAGAGTGAGACCCTGTCTCTGAAAACATTTAAAAAAAAAGAAATTAATTTTTTTTCGAACATTTTACTTTTGCTGGAAAATAGGACTTTTGAATGTTTTTTAAAAAATTGATTACATTGCTTTTCTGAATTTATATGAGTTAATTTACATGTGTAATTTGATTATAATTAAAATGTAGTTATAAATTTAAGTCAAATAAGTTAATAGCATCCTGGATTAGTGATGTGTCCTGAGTGACAGATTATAATTAGTGTTTTAATAAGTGACACTTGAATATATTGTCTTTAATACTATTGTAGAATGTAAGGGGTTTTTTTGCATACAGACTTTGAGATGGTAATAAGCAGATAAGAGATTTAGTGAGAGGTATCCCTGATTATTAGCATTTCTCCTTGAGGAGACATCGAAGCTTAAGGAAATGAAGTTTGTTGGAAAGAGTTTTGGAAGGGAAAGCCTATTGGTTCATCTAAGACTTGTGGAAGCGTGGTTTTGGTTTCTGTATCCTTTTG